TTCAACTACTGACAAGGTCAATTTAATAAGGTTTTAAATAAAAAGGATATACTTTACAATTCACAAAATATAATGGAAAAAAATTCCAGCTTTTTACTTGTGTTTACTGAAAAGAACTATATGCGGTATATTGCATATATTTGCCCCCACAAAAGTCAAATTTTGAAAACTTCCTGAAATGTGCTGAATTCAATAAATTGTATGAGAAATATAAATTAACAGAAAATATTATAGTGTCAAAGTAGTGTATTCACGATTTTGGTTTTTATGACGTGACAAACTAGTCCGATTATATATCCTTTTTCAGAAAGAGGACAAAATGGACAAAATTTCAACAATTTTAGCTTTGAAATTTATAGAGCGCAAGTTTGTTCAGGAACAATATTGACATATTTCATTGATATTATCATTCTACACATCATATCAAAATATTGATCCTGAACACACATGCGCTCGGTGACTTTTACTCAAAATACCGACGAAATATGTACATTTTTCTGTAAAATTCATTAAAAAAACTGTAATTTACGTCATGTTTGTGACGTCATTACGTACATATGACGTCATTACTTATGAAAATATTCAGTGCTTTGAAGTCAGCATATACTCCCCTGTTTAAGAACTTAATTAAATATATCTCCATCAAAGTTTGATTTGGGGGGCAGATATTGGTTATTACCGAATAAAGTTCTTTTCTCTGCTTTAAGCTTTAGGCATACCTGAATTTTATGTTCATCGGTGGATTACATTGTTTTAAGCTAGTAGTTTTACTAAAAATAATTGATATTCATAAAAGCTATTCTTGATAAATTTATTTTATTGGTTAGAGAATAAAGTTCATGGAATATTTACATCAGATGAGAATTCAAAACCATCAGGGTTAAAAATATTACTGAAATTAACTTTGGTCATTCAAATTCATAACTCATTTTTTTTTGGTGGGGGGGATTATTGTTATTTGGGTCTGGCTCTTAAGTTGGAAATATTAAATTCTTTAGGAAAAAATATAAATTGGATAGGGATTTCAGTAGAAAGAGTGTATTATACACTTACTAGAATGAGTTGTATATGAGGCTATTGATCATGACTTAGGAGTATAACAAAATTTGGATTAATTCAGTAAGATTTATTATTTGCAAGATACAGTGTACTAAGGTTATCAAGTCAAGTACATACAAATTTAAACTGATCGTACATGTAGTCGGCTTATTTAAATGACTAAAACATTTAAGAAATAAACAACGTTATTCAGTGAACATGGCGTTATGAATAGCAATTGCTCTGCTGGCATATTCCATGATGCGCGCTAGCGCATCATGGAAAATATGCCAGCAGAGCTATTGCTATTCATAATGCCATGTTCACTAAATAATCGTTGTTTATTACTTATATTTGCATTCTTTGAGTTTTTCAAGAATATCAGAGGAAATCCTGACTTACATAAGGACGCAGCTTCTTGTCTTTAGTAATGAAAAACATACGGCTTTAAAATCACTACACCTGATCAATGATCCTTTTCTCTAATAAATCACAAACAATTTATTAAGTATTTCCCTCTCAAACACAGTCATCTGGATACAAGCAGCGCCGTCATCACATTCTCTTAATTTTTGTTTTGATGCAGTTGTGACGTCATCGATCAACGTTATTGAAACCCTCCGATAAAAATCAATAATTTAAATCTATGATGAAAAATGAGAATGCTTTTATAATGATTTTTACTCCAGAATGCTTTTCTATGATTTTTTTTTTTAGTTTTTCTATTTATTTTTAATAGCTGAAATCATTCTTGAAGTAGATTTCTCTTTCTGAATGTTATTACCCAAGTGTGAAGAGTTATCGTTCTTTGTACAAATATGCATGATACGAAAAAATAAAAATATAGCCGTTCTCTACATTTTTAAAAAGTTTTATTATACAATTAAATACATTGACCAAAATTAAATTTTTAAAGATGTGAATCAGCAATTTTAAATATTCTGAATTTCCTTTTTTTCAAAGAATATTATTAAAAACTTATTTTTATTCCTCTCATGAAACATTTCATATATATACTTCTCAACAGGGTACGTAGGTGTACTAGAGATTGTTCTACAAGAGTGTGATAGAGCAATTGCACTCATAGCAAAAGCAGTTGTGTCTATAGTGTTATGAACGCAGTTGAAGCCTGCAGGTTCATAGTGGGAGAGAGCAGTGGGTATGTAAATATATTAAAATAAACGTGTACAAAATCATGTTTGTTTTATTTTCCTCTATATAAATAATGTTATTACATACTTAGTAATAAATACAGGTTTTTTGCATATGCGATATGGCTGATTTCACAAAAGCCGTATCAGCCCTGCAGGGCTGATATGGATTTGCGGGGCTGATAACCTATATCAGCCCTGCAAATCCATATCAGCCCTCCAGGGTTGATACGGCTATTGTGACGTCAATATCACACTCCAGTAAATTAAACCACAAAAACAGTACTTGTGATCATACACAATTTTTGGTTGGTTCATATTCTCTTTATTTTAACTTTTTGAAAATAAGGTTAATTTTAATGTACAAATACAATAGATTACTTTCAATTTACGGATTGGGGACACTTGAAATAGAAGTACAGAAACAAACCTAAACTTTATAAGGCAAAAGACTGTGTACATTTTAAGAAGTCCGTGCATGATTATTTACTTATTTTCTTCTCAACTTAATGTGTTCTGTATTTTATTACTAAGTATGTAATAAATATAATAAAACATACCCTTTTCCACATCACATCCTGTATCAGCCCTCGACCAATATCAGCCCTCGGGCCTTCGGCCCTCTGGCTGATATTGGTGTCTCGGGCTGATACTGGATGTGATATGGAAAAGGGTATGTATTATTCTCTATTTAATTAATGGCAATAGTTGTAAATTTAACATTTAATTTCATCATTTTGTCAATGCTCAATGCAATTAGGACAGAGAAATTACTCAGTAGTCATAGTAGGTAGAGAACTTGTGTGCTGCAACAGTATTTCAGGTGACTCAATATTGACTAGGCACCCCATTCTTTGTTCTATCATACTGGGCCCATGTTGTGAATATAATTATGTTACTGTTGAAAATTTCTTGTGGCGTAAACTTCCAATATACACACCAATAGGCGTGAACAAAATGTACTTTGATGTCTTTTTATAGGACCAGCCAACAAATATAAACAATAGTTAAGCTAAAACAAACTGCATTTTATTTTTTTTTTTATTTATTTATTTTTATTTTATTTTTTTTTTTTTTACATATAATACCATTATTAAATATTATTTTTAGTACTTTTTAATGTAAGTAGAGAAGAAAAGAATTTTGTTTTAAAAAGTAGAAATGGTGGAAAATTTTAAAAGAAAAAAAACATAATATTCTAAGCATTGAAATATTTCCTTTGTAAAGATTCAGTGTAGTACTTTTAGTATAAAAAGGGAAAAATGTATTTTCAAACAAAGAAAATTATACATTAAATTTCAGGAAATTGCAAATGATTACCAACAAATCATTAAAATTGAAGTATAACAACACACTTAATCATTGTGATTTTAATTCAAAATATGATTAATTCATTATTTTCTTTTTTAAAAATACAGTTCTGATAACTTCAAAATAAAATTGGTTTGGCCTTGTTTTCCAAAAGTTTGTCGCGTGAATTTCATTACTGAATTGTCAGTCTATGCAGACGGCATTTTGTCAAGTTATTTGTAGCAATCATAAACCAGCAATCAGATTTCATATTTGTATCAAAAAGTGATTTTACGGAAGGCAGACATTTTTTTCGTCTAAAACTATATGAAACGAATACTTTCCTGTCTGAAATGCATTTTCATCCATGATATAGGTAATATGATCGCAAGTCCACTGGGGCACTATGTTTACACAGACCAGCCTGATCTCGCGAGAACGAACCAGATATAAACCGTCGAAATTCGGACCCTGTCGAATTTAGGACCTTCGACCATATACGATCTCGATATGAAAGTGAAAGTAGAAAGACTGTGTAGCAGTTGAAGTAAAATGTTATATTCAGATCGTTATCCATGCGGTTCTTTAAAAAATTTAATGAAAACTTGTTGTTTTTATTAGGCCTATGTATTAAACAACTGAAGTTCAGCGTCCCATTGCCGTTTTTATTCAAAGAACCCAATGCTGATTTGACTAAGTGACGATTGAACAGTTATTGAACCAATGCCGATTCTACTGGCGATTAGGGGTGGGACGATACACACATCTTGCGATACGATACATATCTCGATATATTGGCACGATACGATACGTATCTCGATATTATGTCAAATTAAAAAACTATTCAAAAAAAAATTAGTAATTTATTTGTCTTGAAATTAAATCAGCAAATTATTCTATATCAAATCATGTTTTCTTTGAAATCAATACTTTGAGTTTATCAATTTCATTGACTAAAACTTTTACAAAAACAACAGTATATGTACATACTAATATTACCAAATTATTATTCAGAAGTTGTTTACAAATACTTTACAAATAGTTGTATAGTTCATCAGAGAACACTGACTAAAATTTCCTTTAAAAACATCGAGCACGTTTACATTATTATTAATTCATTGCTGAAAGTCTGTAGCCAAGTTGAGATTACAACAAAAAAGTACGAGATGGACTAACAATTAATAATATCAAATGTTCTGGAAACGACACTTTCTGTGTATAGCACGCATTTCATACTGAACTTTTCTTGTCCAGTCTTCCGAGTCTGCTTAAAAGTGAAAACGTTATACCCCTAACCAACGACTTCTTAGTTCTAAAGTGTGTTTTCAATATCAACATCATCTCTTCGCTTCGTACAAGCCGCCATTTTCCTCCAGGAAGGACCACAGGTACTTTCATTTTCATTTTTTGGATAGGTCGTTCGTGTATCGTTTCGTACCGATATTTGAATGCTTGTATCGTAAACCGTATCTTGGAGGAAAATATCGGTATGTATCGGTGTATCGGTATATCGTCCCACCCCTACTGGCGATTGCGTGATGACAAATCAGGTACTTACACTATTAATCATAGTGTTTACCAGTAATGACTATTCAAGGAAAGAATATTTCTTTAGGAAATTCTTTCTGTACTTGTATCTTAATTCATGATTTAATTTAATGGGTTTTTTTTAAATAATGCAACTCTTTTTTTTTACAGAACAATATTCCAGCACATTTTTAAAAACCTATAAGGTATGGAGAGAATAACTGGCCATAAAACAACACAATATCTACATATGGGGATAAATTTTCATCTAAAGCAAACAAACAAGGTACTAGTAAGTTTACGTGTTCATGATTTACAAGTGTCAAAAGAACAATAAGAAAAAAATGTGTGTATTTAATTTCATGAAATTAAAAAATAGGCCTACTGAAAAAAAAACTGAATTAAAAAACAAGTATCAGATAATTTATTATTTATTTATATATCAATTAACATTTAATTTTTTTTCAACACCAGAGAAACTAGAGTCTCTGTTGTAGTTAGATATGCACATGATAAACTGTGTAAATGATTATTTGATATTTTTACAGGTTTAATATACAGCCTGCCCTTTTCATAATGAATACATGTACATTGAAGAACAGACACCAAGACCCCAAGCTTGCTTCAAAATAGGTAAGTAAATACTGTGTAATAAACTTAAAACTTTCTTATATATTCTTCCCATGAAAGTTTATGGATATTCTGTATTTAAAATATCTGTTTTTTGCTTGTCTGTTTGTTTGTAGTCAAGGGTTATACATTTTTATCTCCATCATTCTGAATCATGCCTATAGCATTTTTGGCAATTTGTATTTACTGTTTAAACATTCCAAATTCAATTGTCAAAATTTGAAAAAGTTATTGCTATTGCTTATAAGCTCACCTGAGCCTAAGACTAGCATGAGCTTTTCCAACTGAGTCTGTCCCTTGTCTGTCGTAAGGCGTAACAAAAAATATGTTTGTTTACGGTTACCCGACCGACCCTAATTTTAATCGCCGACCCAAACTTTTTTTTCGTCGTAAAAATCCGGAAGTTACTGGCCGGTTCAGTTTAACTTTTATATTCATCTTTGAAATCGAAATTGAAAGTACAGAAACAAAACCAGTGAGTTCGATTTCTACATCATCGATTTCGTTGCAATTTGCTTAATTACCATTGCATGACAGTTGCAGGAGTGTGCAACTAGCATCGCCTGACGCCCGGTGCTACCGTTTTTGGGGGTAGTAAAAATTAAAATTATGCATGTAATACATGAGAAACACAAACGGTATTTTCACTTATTTTTTTCCCATTTAATTTCCAACTAATGAAAATTTTCCAGGCAGTATGCTCCTACTGTTCATAAATCACTTTAATCTTATCCATTTTGCAATACTACCTGACTTATTTACTTCAAAAGACGATCGTTTTTTTCCTAATCCGAATTTCCTCCATTCCTCTGTGAATGGTAAATACATGCAGATATCTCTTTCATATTACTTACGATCCCCCAATCAACTGACAGCTAAGTGTTATGTGGTTAACCTTTAATATATATCAATTGTATTTAATGGTTTGAAATGAAAATAAAATGATTTTTGCTTCATTTTAGATAAGCTAGACTAGTGCAATATGTTCAGAAAAGAGAAGATATATACATGTAATAATTTCTTAAAATTTTTAAACTTCAACTTTAAAAGGAATGGCATAGGACCCTGACTTTCTCAACAATGAAGTTTTTACAATATTAGTTTTTACAATTTTTTGCCCCTATATTTGGACTGGTCACTTTTCACTTCGGGCTAGTAACTTTACTGCTGTTACAAGCCTGTGGGCTAGTACGTAATTTTTTTGTAATTGCACACCCCTGAGTTGTAAGGCAGTTTGCAAGAAAGATTATATTGTTCACACCCATATTACAAGCCCAAACAACAGTAATTAAGGCACCATAAAATGGGAAAACTGTTTTGTAATTCAACCAATTCATGTGAATTAATTTTGTGTATAAAAAAATTCAATAAAATAAAAAAAAATTCCTACCTACCGACCCTATTTTATTTCAGCATGTAACAGTAAACAAAGTTATTTTTTTGTTTGGCCTAATCGTTGTCATCATTAACTTTTCACAATTTAATTTATATAGTTTCAAATCACATTACATATAACTAAATTACTTGCAATGTTTTTATTGTATTTCCAACAGCTCAATCAGCAGAATTTTTACATTGTAGGCTCCACCCGTACCTTAACATGAGAAGTTTTCACATCATTTGACCATGATCCAAGGGACTGATTAGTGATTAAGTGCTCAAGGTAATTACTTTTTGTGGTACCATATTTTAATTAATAATGCATGTAATTATCATGGCATTGGCACTTCTTAATTATTTAATTATTTTCTTCATCATTTCAGAAGCAATGCAGTCACTGTCAGGGAAATGAAGCCATAATTTTGTAAAAATTTGAAAAATAAATGCAGGATTAATGCTTACAATTTTGTTCTTTTAATTTCTTATTGTTAACTTAAGGCATTTAAGGACAAGTTTAATATTTAGTTCATTTAGTTCACATCGCAATCCAAGGAAATACCAATTATTAATGGGAAAATGTAAAGAAAGAAATAAAATTGACATATGCTCATAAACGTATATTGATCATATGATCATACAAAACATATAAATAACATATGTTAAACATATAATCAACATATGTTTAGAAACATATGTTAACCATATGTTGCTCGTTTTTTTATGGCAAACATATGTTTCGGAACATATGTTCAACATATGTTGAACATACGTTGCAATTTTACCTGTGTATGTCCTACGACTAAATTTTGGTCTAACGCATAATTAAACTGGCAAATCAATGAAACTAATCATGACTTTAAATCAATACTGAATCTTATATAACACTTGGCAAAATTTTTCGAAGACTTTTTGAAATGCTCCAAAACTCCAGAAAAAGAAAAATTCATTCAGAGTATAGTATGGAAATCGGTCTTGATCGAAAATAGTAAGATCTATTTTTAGTTATAATTCTGATGGAAAATAATCCATTCAAGCTAATTTCTATAAATAAAATACCCGGTAATAAATACCCCGGTAAAGAACTTTATTTCTTTCAGTGAAAAATTAATACACGGCGTAATTGTGTTTAAATAAATTCATGTTATTAATGGGTATGAACGTTAATTAAAATGCTTATTATTTGTTTGTTTTATTTGTTTGTACTGTGATGACTGTCGCATACGAGTTGTTAACATTTTGTTAATACCTTTTTAAGAAAAGAAATGCATTATCAATTTCAACTGCCTTTTATAGTTACATTCGCTTAATTTTGAGTAAGCCACGCCTATCAAACTAAATAATTGGGACTGCTGGGACTGCTTTTGGGAACCACTGGGACTGCTGTGGGACTGCTTTGTGTCAGGTTGGATCTACTTGGAACTGTATTTAAGTTAAGCATGCGACAAAATAAATTTATATGAGTAAAGTATCTATAACCAAATGGCATTTTCTTCTCTATCGTTTTCCGGACCTCATATATATATTACAATGCTTCATATCACAAGTATTGTATCCGAAAAGGTGTCTCAAAATTCGTTGTTACTTTCCAAAACACTAGATCTTTGTTTGTAATGTTAAGCTATCATAATTATTTTCACCGTAGCTAGTTTTTCAACATTTCTTCTTAATGTCCTGTATTTCAAATATATTTACAGTGCAGGGAAATAATTTTGTTACAGCATCAATGCTGATTTTGGTGCTACCTATGCTTGCTGATTTTGATGCTTCCTTTGCTTGCTGATTTTGATGCTAGTTATCCTTATCCTGATCCTGGTTTGATCCTTATCCTGATGCTGGTTTGAAACTAGGTCAATGCTAGTAATGCTACCGGAAGTAAGTGTTGGTAAAATGGGTAGGCAAACCCGGGCCGGGGCAAATTAAAAGCCGGGGCAGATCGAGGTTTTTCATATTTCCGTCTTCATACTCTATCGATCGAAATTTTCAGAATGTATTTGATACATGATTATTTATATTCGCTGCTAAAATTGCCATGAAATACTTTATATTGGAGATTTTATCGGCGATTATTGATTTTCAAGTTGGTAAAATGGGTAGGCAGTTTCCCAAGTTCATAATTTACGTTTTCAGACATATGCTGCCAAAAGTCCATATAGTTATGAATAATTCTGGTGTTTAAGAATATGTATTAACTATAAATTTATATTTCTTCATTGGTTGTTGCAATATTTACGTAAAATTACATGTTTTAAGAAAAACCGGGTCATTAAAACCGGATCCGATCACCCGGGAAAAAAACTGAAAATTCCGGAATAATTGTATAGGTTTACTCTATTTTAGTTGAGATTATTTGTCATCTGACAAGTGTCAGGCTCTTTTGAGAATACCTCCATGTGGTTAGAGTTGGACAATGTAACAAATGTAATAGCTAACATCCTTCAATGCAAACAATTTGCCTTCATTATTTCGGAATTTTCGGGTTTGCCCCGGGTGATCGGATCCGGTTTTAATGCCCCGGCTTTTCTGAAAATGCGCAAATTCTGCATACTTATAGCTTTTATAATGTAAAACTAATTATATTTCGTTTATATAGAGTGTAAAATATTGGAAAAGTCCACAATTGTAATGGTTTAATGAGTCTTTATTTAAAAAAAACGTGAAATGTCGTATTGATTTTGCCTACCCATTTTACCAACCTGGAAATGAACAAACACCCAGAAAATCAGAAATATTGCGTATATTATGGCGATCTTAACAGCGAATACAAAAGAATCTTAAAGGAACATAATCTGAAAATTTCAGATTAATTGGTGGAGTCTTAGCGGAGATATTTGAAAAATCTCGATCTGCCCCGGCTTTTAATTTGCCCCGGCCCGGGTTTGCCTACCCATTTTACCAACACTCAACGGAAGTAGGATTATCCTGCCGGAAGTGGATAATTCAAAAACAGCATCGCTAATTTAAGCCATTAAAAATAATTTTTGGGGTAATTTTTATTTGTAATTTGTATTAAATGACTTTCCTTTATCTGTTTTCACTTTTTACCGAAAAATTTTGCGATTTTTAACGAATTTCGTTTTGTCGTATTGCAATCGTAAAGAAACAAAATGGCGACATAGTGGAAGTTGGAAGTAAATCTTCATCTTGCGAAGTTATCGTAACATAGTTATTTGATATTGATTGCAGCTAAAATGCGATGATTTATCCTTTTTGTGATGCGATTTCAGTAGGTGGAATAGCCCTAGTGTGTGCAACGTGTAAGCATGGAAACGTGATGGACAATGAACATGATGAAGTTTATGTCAAATCCAGATGAAAATTTATCGCGTGTCCTGTGAATATTTTAAAGAAAATATTATGCTTTAAATGGAAAAGTCGTAATCCAAGGAACCAATAGATCATCAGTACAGTCACTACAACCACTCAGAGGGTATGTATACGATGTTTTTTTTTTAATCAGATTACATAAAAATGGTAACGATTATGTGAAACAGACTTAGTGTTACAAAAAAATAAAAACTCAAAATTCTGAGCGATTAAGGCATTTAAACATGTTAAACCCATGTGATTTTAAAGGTCAATTTTTACAATTGAATAAAAAATAAATGATTTTTTTTTTAATTTAGAATCTGCAGACGCAGTATTCTGTAGTTAATCCACAAGGTATCAAGTCAAATTTTACATGACCCATTGTTGCAACCCACGGCCAAAATGTACAACCTTCTCCCATTCTGACCGTGGTCAAATGAGAAAGAATATTTTGTAGCTCGATCATTAATATTTTGTAGCTCATTAAAATATTGATTAATGCAAATGAGGCAAAGTCAGATATTTTACTTTGATCATGATACCCAGTCACAGTGTCAGAAACACTGTTGAATGTATGTAAATTGCTCATTTCAATACTTGATATCGCGATTACTTAACTTAGTGGAACTCTTTCGCGAAGGAGGTAGGAATCGTCTGTTGGGTGGGGGCAATGTGCTATTTAATACAGTGCAAGATCGATCATTGTAGCATTTATAAGGACAGATAAGTAAAAAATCCTGGTGGAATACCTCACTAAACAATCGCTGAACCAGCCATATATGTTTTTGAGAGGAGCCAATCCTAAATTGTCACATTAATTTTTAACTATATTTTTAATTAAGCGGACTCTTCTCGTTAAATTTTCATTGAAAATCGTCACATTTTTAAGCAGATAAATTATTCTAAACTTTCCTTATTTGACAATCAACTATTTGTAGTTCAATATCTGGCAGAACATCGTGATTTTGGCATTAAATTGTTCGAATCATTCGATTGTCACTACTGTAAACAATGTCATTTGCCCCCAAAAATTTACACTTTTCTCGACTCCCCCGCAAAAGAGCGGTAGTAAGTTAGATAACTGCGAGGTACACATTGGTAGTCGTGATATAACGTATTGGGATGGAAAGAAACCCATGTTCACTTACAATGTCATATGATGTCACAATAAAGATTGAGGCATCTGATCAAGATAAAGATTAGGAAATTTTTTGTGATCAAGCAGCCACGAGCAGGAGAGCTTCATGCTTACAACGATGTGGTAATGTACATATATAACCTGAGGCTGACCGACTAATAACCAAGTCCACTCAAACGTAGTAGATGTATTTCAACTTTTGAACCAATCTAGAAGTCAACTCTTAAACACTAGTATGCATGGTTACGGATTTTATCTTTGCAGTCTTAGTTAGGCTGTTCCCTATCAAGTACTGTCCTGTGTCTGGTTTACGAGTAAAATCTAGATTGTACATAAGGCTTTAAACAGATATATAATGTTTTCAGAAGGCAGATATGTATCTATCCTGATATTTGAGCTACAATACAATGTCAATATGTATCAAATATTTGAATTGGTCATGTTGATATGGAAGTGTTTTTTTTTTGTATTGAACAAGATGTGTTTGTGAAACACTATGGCGGCCGGCGGTAACAAAGTTAAAAAAAACTTTAGTTTAGCGTATAATTCACAGTCTAGGTCATAAGGTCATTGATCTCAATGTCATTTGAAAGAACTTTATTAGTGGAATATGCATACCCAATATGAAGTCTCCATCTCTTATGATTCAAAAGTTATGGTAAAAGTTCAAAAGAATTATTTTAAGCATGTAGGTCATAGTCAAGGTCACAAGGTCATTGAAGTTGGTGTCTTTTGAAAGAACTTTTTAAGCTGAGTACACATGCCAAATATCAAGTCTCTACCTCTCAAAGTTAAAAAGTTATGGCGAATGTTCAAATTGACAATAGACAGACAGACAAACAGCTGAACAGATAAACAGACAGGACATAAACAATATATGCCTCAGAACCATCGATCCGGGGGCATAAAAATTTTAAGAACAAATCATTTCTTCACAATTATTTATGAATAATTTTCATTTGATTTAAAACAGTAAGCTGTAAACATGGTATATCCGCTGTAAAACAAAATTATTTTATA